TTGTTTAATAAAGCCATACCTACACTGGGCACAATTCCAGACGCCGAAGTTTGAAAACCTTACAAATCACAGTGACTGAGGACTTTAGAGAATGATCCAGATATATTCACTATCATTTAAGCAGTATAGAACCTAAACAGATTCGTGGTCCCACTGAAGAAATCCATTCAAACAATTCAAATAATAACTAAATCTATGACAACCACTTCAATGACTTACAAATCCTAATCTTGACGAGACGAATCAACGGATGTTTGAAAATAATCTACGTACATAGATTCTAAGGTAATACGATAACGGTAATGATTCAGAGCTGTAAGGTTGGATTTCCCAATTTCTCCCACATGATATCTTGAGATAATCTAATCAGAAATCATAGAGATAGGGCCGATGCCGATTCGGAGTCGCGGAGTACCTAACGGGTAACCGGGGCTCCGGCTCGACGTGCAGGAGAAGGAACGGGGTGGTTTTTAGTCAGTAAGAGTCTGACACTCCCTTCCGCCTCACCCAGGCGGGAGCAGTCATTCGATGATTTTCCCACCTTAAAAAAAAATCATAGAGATCTATTCATAAATGAAAAATGACAGGACATCTTTTATCTATTGAATGTTTTACCATGATTTCTTTACATAACTTCACAAACAAAAAAAAAAACAAAAAATAATGACGAATATAAAATTTTAATAAAATATTATATTCGTCATTATTTTTTGTCCATAAGTACTAACGTTGGGTCTCGAACACCAGGCTGGCAATTAAATACTTCTCAAATTGTCATCACCAAAACAACAGTTCTTACAACTCTGATCAGCGTACCTTTCTCTCTTATTAATTCTTTACTGAATCCTGATCATATTCTTTTCGTCAAGAATTTTCCTCTAACTAATCCTACTATGTATTTTGTTTTTACCAACAATCGCAACTGAATTACAATGTTTCTACATACACACATAGAATTGCCTTACTTGAAAACAACAACAGCGTGTGTTTATTGATACAACAATAGAAAAACCCTACGGATCGTTGGAGATTTCCCTATTTGTTCGAAGAAAGATCTTGTAAACAATAGATAAATCAATTAGTATAAAAGGTAAGGTTTGCACCATGCACCAAATAGAAAGTATTCAACTAACAATGGCTTACTTTCAAAACGTACTTTTCTTGGCCGTGGTATGTACTACAACACTTATTTCTTAAAAAGTTTTATTATGTATCCCCTTAAAATACAAAGAAATATAACATTAATTTATTATTTCAGTGCGTGCTCGCTATGACACTGGCTCAATCACCCCAAGGTGGACCACACACTTCTCAAGGTGGCCCACACACCTCCCAAGGTGGCCCTCATCAGAACCAGGGTCGATCCCGAAGACAAGCTGAAGCTGGTACCTTCGACATCACTCAATCAGTAGCGAACTGGACTACTTGTAACTACCTCGTCGACCCGAAGATATCCTGCCACGATTGCCACACTAGAATTATCTGCAAGCCGATTGGGGGTCTTCTGAAGTCATGTGACGACCCCAGCAGACCACACTGCAATAATGGAATCTGTTCCGCTGTGCCAAGTGTTCAATGTGCCTAAACTTACGACTGAACCGATTTTCTGAACTCCGGCTTTGTTTTGCCCAAAATTATTTTGTCTATTTGGTTCTAAAATAAAATTCTTCTATTGAAACTATCATTGTTTTTGTAAGTACGCTACACTCACTCATTTACATGTACTGAATAATAAGTACCTGTCTACTGTTACTATTGTTAAAATTATTCCATGTAATCAAAATAAAGTCCTTACAAAGATTTAAAAATACTGGTGAACATTTAAAAAGAGCTTCATTGAAATTTTCTACAATCTTGAAGTACAAAGTAGTCAGCCACGGATTAATTAGTAGAAGTAGCTGTAATCTCTCTCTGAAATGAAATAAAACTAATTAGTCGCGTACAACCTAACAACTAAGTACTTAAGAGTAATGAAATAAGTATCCACTCAGTTACTCGGAATTAATTAACATCATGTTACAGGGTGGCCAAAACACACATTATGTGATTTAATGAAAATTCCTAGCCGGAATATATTGTGGCGTCCAATATCTTTCAACCCATGTCAGCCACCGATGCTCATTATGTACTTGTACTACAATTGAAAGGCTGACACCGCGAAAGATTTTCAATTGCTATTATCGTTGTAACTGGGTCTTACATAACATAACATCACGCCTTTTATCCCCGAAGGGATAGGCAGAGGTGCACATTATGCCACTGTACAATGTAACACCCACTTTCACTATTTATGTTATGAGTCCCATGTAATGGGGGGTGAGCCTATTGCCATATACCGGGCACAATTCCAGACTCCGTGCTACTACTGAGATTTTTTTTTTAAAACCCAGTAATCCTTTGCCCGACCCGGGAATCGAACCCGAGACCCCTTGCCCGGCAGTCGCACTTGCGACCACTCGGCCAACGAGGCAGTCTGTAACTGCAGAGCGTAACTGGGTCTTTTGGGGGTATTTTACCCCTTATCATGTTTATATGGACAAATTTTCTTATTCTGTAAAATATCCATATTTTAAAGGATCGTTTCGACCCAAGTCTGAATCTGAACCCACTCACAACAGAAAATAACGCGAAAGATAGTGCATGGCACCGTTAAAAAACACCCTGAAATCTATATTTCCGTGCTTATTGCAAACACGTTGTACTGACGTAGGTATTATACATACTTTTTACATACGTAAGACATACATACATTATTTGTAACAATCGTTGGAACAGATAAAACTTTATGCATAGCGGCATACGTTGAAGTTACAATGCAGTAACAAATGGGAAACAATGAACTATCTGTAGTTGAACAAGTTGCGGAATGCGGCTTTGAAACTGTACGATATTATTCCATAATGATCTGTGAAAATCTGCTTCAACTATTCGATGTATATGAAATCCAATTGTAACTGATTCGAACTCAACTATAAGAAAATTAATAAGAAATACTTTGCATAATAAATTGAATAATTTATGATTAATTAAAAAGTTTAAGCATCCTCAGTCAATTATTTGTAAAAACTTGACAATCAAAGTGAGTGGAACATCAGGAATGTTTGTGGTATAAATGTAGACTGGCCGGGATCAAATAACAGGTTTGTTTACACAAAACTTTTGTATTATTAATAAACAACCCTAAATGAAATCCCACCCACTGCCAAAACCTCCTTATTATGTAATGGTTGACATTAATTCAAATCAGAAAGGTCACGCACAATGTTGAAAATCAATTTTAATACAAAAACTCGAGGAGCGAAACAGGCATTACAATTTACAAACCGTCTTGTAACGGTACTGACAGAAAAATAATATGGCGCAGAAATTATCTCGTGGAGATGTCAACATTGCTACACATATGCTATCTTATCACAATTTGTATACCGACAAATCTTTCACGTTGATCACGTTTGTTTTCTACCTATCAATTACATAAATGTCACGACAGCGCTCACAATTATATTATGTACGTTTGTTCTAGGTGTGTGTCTGTATTCCTCTATTGTGTAAGACAAGCGAGGTGGTGACGTCTCTATAAGGAATAAAAGCGCTTTCATGTTCAGAGCTGCGATTGTTTACAGCAAGCCATACTGTTTGCTTTTGGCTCATGTTTAGATGGACGTCAAGGCTGCATTCCATGATCGGAATATGTACCTATGTTTATTAAGTAAAAAGTACTTGTCATCAAAAACTGAGATATTTTTAACGTAGCGGAAACCACGCACATGTTTTTATTTGACATCTTTACACACACATATGTAATATTACTGTCAGGTAGTCCAACCTTGTACGTACTGTTTGCATCCTAGATACAACGACTGCACGTTGTATACGTGCAGTCCCGAAAGTAATTGGAGAAAATTCAAGAAAAAGAAATCATATAAAGCGAATATTTTGCGCAATTCTTAATAATTTAGAATCCTGTAAGCATGCAGTTGCTAAGGGAGGAACGTTTTTTAACGTACTCAAATACTTTTGAAACACTAGCCTCTGTCAGCAGCTTCGGCCGTGTTCTCGTGGGATAGAAAGTAGCCTGTGTGTTAACTCAGACCCTAATCTACCTCTGCTCCAAATATCATCTCGATCCCTTAGCCGTTTTTGCGTAAAAGAGTACCAAACAGACATATGGACATCCTTACAAACTTTCGCATTTATAATATTAGGAGGATAGTAACCATAAGCATTGATTAAATTCCTATAAAACACGTGTAAAGGAAAATGTGCATAAATATACTTTATACGTAATTACAACGTTTTTAAAAATAAAATTGCGGCTGAAAATTTTCCAGCAGAAGCAAATTCCTGCAATATGCATTTACATCAAAGAATAATGATAACGCCAACGCGCCTGTGTCCTTGACATGACGTAGAGTAAACAGAACAAGATTTATTGACAAAAGTTTTAATTTCAGTATTTTGAATACCTTCATCACGTACATTTCCTTTAGAAATAGGCAGATGGGCTTTCGATATTTTTTTTGGTTTTTCAATTTATACGTTGGAGTTTTATTGTAACCGATGCAAGCTATTACTTAAATAAGAGTGTCCCGGGATAACATTAGCTAGTTGTGTTTACACCCCTAATTATGATTGTTGTGAACTTTTACAAACAGTTTAGAATTAAGACCAGAATAATGAACCAGAATCTGAACATAAAAACATGAAATCTACTGAAATACAGACAATTATAAAGGTGATGAATTCCAACCGATTTATTATCATAAACAATAGTATCGTATCTATTCAAGAAGTTAAAATCTCTTTTACCTGTGCAGACAATAACGGCACATGCATAATTTACATATACATAGTTACACTGCACACTTATTCGACAACCCTAACAACGGAAATGTATCGATTAGCATATTCTTTATGTGTCAATCGTATATAAACCCAGCGGCCGACCACATCAAACAACTTCTTCATCTGAAGAACACGAGGAACTAAGCAAACTAAAAATGGCTTTCGTTAAGAATATCTTGCTCCTGTTCGCTATCCTGGTAAAACTTGTTTACTTAATTTTAATTAATATTTTATTTTCATTGTTCACAAATCATTTGTCTGCTTACAGGTCCCTGCGGCAATCCTAGCTCAAAATGGTACAGATGTACCTCCAAGCTCGGATGGACCATCGTCTGACTCCCCCAACGGTGGTAGCACCGAACCACCGATGCCATCATCAGCGTCAGGACCTTTCGACCACTTCTCCTTCAAGCCTCCCAAGTTCGACTGGCCTACCGTACCTGGATTCTTCGGTGGTGGTTCCCGTAACAAGAGGGCTGCTTCTGAGCCTGTGGACGCGGAACACGCTCGCCAGGACCATGCCTTCTTCCGCCGTGTGATTAGGTGCAACTTCTTGACCGAGGTAAATCATTTAGAATAATTATAATTTATTCTAGTTAAATGTACTGAATCTATTTCATCTTTTTTTTTTCATGTTCAGAGTTTTGTGTATTTATTTCAAAAGGAAAATCCAAAACTTACAATGAGATTAATATCATAACTAGTATACTTATTTATTAATTTAGAATTCTCCTACTTTCACAATTTTATTGCATCTGATTGTTTAAACTTCTAGGGAGGCTTCAGGTGCACGTCTTGCAACACAGTCCGCCGCTGCTATCCTTTCAACATCGGCACAGTCTCCACTTGCAGCGGACTGTTCCCCTACTGCAGGAACGGACAATGTTCCATGACGAAGGGAGCCCTTTGCACTGACACGACATCAACTTCATCTACTTCCTCTACATCTACTGATTCTACTAGCACTTCTAGTTCCTCGAGTTCTTCATCCAGCTCTTCATCGAGCTCATCTTCCTCAAGCACCTCCACCTCTACCACCAAGAGTAAATAAACTGGAGAAGTTCCTGGTAAGATTTTTATGACCTTTCTTATATTTAGTTACTGTTCTAAGTCTATTGTTTGATCATTTGCATAATTCTCTCTTGTTCCATCTATGACTATTGTTTGTTCCATAGAATAAGGAAGAATGTTTAGGATTGGTTTCATGTCGCTAAATGAGTTCTATAGAATATACCTTATTTTATTCTTGCTTTATTACTTATATAGAAAGATGTGTATTTCATTGTTTTAATGACTACATTGTCTATTTTTACAGATATGATCGTATTTGGCAGAATAAATCAACACAGAATTGGAAATAATGATACTTTTTGATATTGTTTTAAACCATATATTCAATAAAATGCATTGGAATTATTTTATGTTTTCTTTACTTACTTCTGATTTATTGGCTCTGGGGAAGCATTGCAAAATCAAACGATAATATGGCACGGTTTTCTTTATTTACAATAACACATTACTAAATTCAATGAGTATCATCAGTTACAATATTCGTTTTAAAAATATTTTGATTGATATCAGATATATCATAAAAATTGAAGATAAAACCTACCGACTACAGATATAATTTAAAAATTATTATCATATTATTATGGTCACACATAATTCATTTATTGTCGATTTTCCAAATCTGTCTTACCATATCCGCTGATAAGTTTTCAGCAAACATTTCTTTACTTCACGCTAAAATATTCAAAACATTGATCCTTTCGTTTTAAAGCTTAAGCTTGATAATAAATAATGTTCTAAGAAATTTCGAGAATATTATCAATTTATTTGTCAAACACAGCTAGTTAACCCTATTCAATAGTTGATATTTAAAGATACATCAAAGATATGACTGTTTTTTTTTTCAATACGATAACATTCAATGCCCAACGTATTCCTTAACCTGCACTGATTCCCCCAAAATATATTTCAAATCTATCTACGAACTTCCTCTTTCAACCCACAATTTTTGTATGTTTGCTATACCTAGAAGAATATTTGTATAATTTCAGTATATTGATATAATCTTTAACACAAATCTTTAATCTCTAGTATAATTTTATATATTTGCGATTGACATCTTAAAAATCTATAATTAAAGTTAGGAGTACGATATCTGTCTTAAGCTGGCCAAAGTCGTTTGTTGTAAAAATGAGATCGCTTAAAATTAACTTACCATTAAAGTCATTTAAACTAATAATCACAACATTTAACATATATGAAATACAAACAGTTAGGTATATTATATTGTTCAGAATTATTGTCTGATTTATATCATTAATCCGTGTTCCCTACGTCTTGACAACGACATGAGAAAAAATCAAGATCACGGTTTCATCCAGTTCCAAAAACCAATTGATAAAACATCAATTTTTCATGCTAACCACTTTTTAAAATCCAAAATACGATCTATCCTATCCTTGGAATTGAATGAAAACATGACCGAAAAGCCGGCACACTGAATGCACCTCAAAGTTCATTTGCTAGGGTAGCCTGAGCTGTAGAGCGTGGCGTCGCCTAGCGGGCACTGGCATAGCTACTGATTCTTACGACGGCTTGGTAGACTGCTGTTGCGGTAGCCTTTCCGGAGCAAGATGTTGTCAACAGCTGGGAGCAACAAATACCTCTTGCCAGACACGTGGTATGGAACTTTAAGCGACCTGAAGTAGTAAAACTTGGGCGTCTCCTTAGTGTAGGACTGCCAGCGGTTCTTGGTGAATGGTTCGACGTAGTTGGGTGGTGCGATCGGTGGTAGCGGCAGAGGGCTGGAGTGCGGGAGGTCGTTGTTTAGCGGTTGGCGGAGGATCCGACCGGTCGGGTGCGAGTGAGCAGGTACTGGCGCCGCCGGTATGTCGGCGTCGTCTGAATCGATTGCTGTGTCAGCTTCGGAACTAGACCGATATTCCCTACGAACAAATAAAAATTTTGTTACACACTACACCTTCTTTAAAAATGTCAAGTATATCTGGGTTAACGTTTTGTTTGGGAAACCAGTGTAAATCAGGAAGTATTTAGTAAAAGTGTCATTTACAAATTGTAAATAACGCTTTGTCTTTCCCTATGGTTCAAATGTATACATGGATAAGTAGTTGTACAATACCTATGTATTTGTACATTTGTATTATAATATTTGCAACGAAGTAGTTAATTTAATAGGGTAGTTTAATGTATGTACGTAGCCACTCTGTATCCCGGTACACGACTAACTTCCGGCAAACTTGCAGCGACGACAACGCTTGCTTACAAATGCACGTATAACTCAGATACAGTTTCACAGTAACTCTGTTGCCACTGAATCACTATTCTGAATGGGAGTGATGTTCATTCACTTAACTCATTCTAGTAATTTAACATGCACTCACCTAATTCCGAAATTCTCGTCAGCGGAATGCTTCCTGTAAAACAAATCTATGTGAGTCAACATATCTTTGTAGAATAATATCAACAATAAATTTTTCACAAACATCAAAAAGTATTCTAACATTTATTTTTCAGTCCAATTTGTCTATATGACATCCATTGCATGTAGACATCATGTAAATTAACACTAAACATTTAGGCATGCGACGATGTGAAGGATCACCGTGTCCTCTATAACAGAGCCCTTACAACCTATGTGCTCTGAAGCAGTCTACCGCATTCTGAGCTTCACGCTTAAAAATCTGATTTCACTCTAAACATCAATAACAAGAATGCACTAGTAACATTTATCATGCCTCTATACTGTCGTTCGTCTATACAATCTCCTAATATACTAAAGCACATAACGACTGTTTGTATTCTACACAACGATATTCGAATATTACGAGACCTGTATAATTCCTGGCTAGGTAACAACAACCTGGCTCGTCCTGATCTACTGTAACGTCCTCCTGAGTACCTAAACGAGGGCAATAAACCTAACCGAGCAAGAGAGCCAATATGACGTTTCTCAAAATTTTCACGAACTTCATCGTCATCATCTGGAACAGAAGTAAATAAGACAAAGCTGTTAACTCAAACTCTACTCCTGTATGAGTTTATCCACAAGTTTGAGTTTGCGAACGAGTGTTCCATAACATTTGTTACGTTATTTTACTCACCTACGGAACGTTTTTCTCCCTCAATATCATTTTGCTCGATCCCTTCGTCTCCGTCCATAGGATCAGGGTAGGGCATCACGTAGCGTTTGGTCCTAGTAGTTGGTTCAAAGTAGTTAGGTCTGTATAGTCCATGAATTGGACTACCGGCGAAGCTCCTCTTAAAATACGAGTTGTCGTATTCTTTCTGGTTGTAGTAGTCGTAGTATGGATCAAAAGGAGTACGCTTGAACACTTGAGACATTGATGGAAACATGTCTGGATTCACCGATTGTTGGAAATCAAACATTTCATTGACATCTAATGGATGATCAATTTCAGACAAAGGAGCAATAGGATTTTGGTAGAAGGGGAAATAGTATTCTTCTTCATTCGCTTCGTCCTTCTTGTGAAGCAAACCATTGCGTGCCAAAGCCGCAATATTGCGTTTGTCATTAGAAGGATTATACTGTCCTCGACCTACGCGGTAGCCGTCTCTAGCAAGAGCTTGAATGTTCCTCTTCATGGCTGCATAACTGCGGAGCCTTGCAATCGAAGCTACATTTCTTTTTTCTTGAGATTCATCTTGATCTTGATCTTGCTTATCTGCTTCTACATACGGAGACCTGTACGTTGGCAGTAAGCCATTTTTAGCAAGCGTAGAAATGCCTCGTTTGTATGCTTTAGAACTAGAACTTCTCAAGTAACCATCTCTGGCTAATGCTGCGATATTTCTTCTCGGGAACGTAGGCCATTGACTATCAGGATCTGCTGGCAAACTTTCCACCTAATGGTAAAATGAAGAAGGATATTATTGTGTAATCAATATTCAGTGTTAGTTGTACCGTACCACAAAATTTATTGTATATGTATTTTACGACCAATTTCCGCATTTGTACACGCTACGTAATAAAAAAATTAACACACCTGATCAATATAAGTGGAGAATGCGACTGCCAAAGTAGCACACAGTAGGAGACAACCGCGGTGTTTTCCGCTGCTCGACCGCACGTTGTTCATCTAAGTTAAAACGAAAATATGAAATAACTAACCTTGAAATCTTAAGCTATTCTTCATTTATCATAGAAAAGCCAACATATTTTTAACTTCACCCATAAACTAAATTAATTTAGCTTTGACCTTAAATCCGAAAAACGCACTCTAAATCAAAGACCAGAACAATTAACACAATCTAAGATTTAATTACCGGGGCCACACAAGAGCAAGGCATAAATTAATTGGTGATACCGAACAAAGCGAGATCGTAATCAAATTAGTCGCAAAACTATTCAATTTGCAACTATGATTAATGGCCCTGTGACATTGAGTGAAACGAGTTACAAGTTGAGACTAAATCTGTTAACAGTGCCAGGGACTCGAATGAAAGGTCGTTAGGGGACGGAACTTTTATAATAGTCTGCCACTGGGATGGGTATGAAGTTGGCAGATTCAATTACGCGGAAGTCCGTTTGAACCACCTGAACTGCTTTGAAACGTGACGTGTATGCAAAGGGCGTTTTTATTTCCAACTGTGTGCCTATTACTTTTATCGTTTCATACTTCAATAAAAAAACAAAAAGCTTGTTTTCATATGGGTACTGTAACTTTAATCCAGTTGTAAATGCAGATCTAACTTTTTACCTTTGCCATGTGGACATGTACGGGGGAGGCATAGATCTATTTGTCTAAATTTACAACGCCAACTGTCAATTCAATAAAAAAACCTAGGATGAGGATGTTTATGTTAACAGTGAATGTTTCATTAATTAAGATTTTTAATTACATGGGACTCATAATATAAAATAGTTAAAAGTGTGTATTACATCGTACAGTGGCATTACTTAAGTGCCGTAATGTGCACTTCTGCCTACCCCTTCGAGGATAAAAGGCGTGTTGTGATGTTATGTTTTTATTGATTATGATATTCGCGAGGTACTGTAAGAATCAGTACTATGTACCTATTGTACTCATGGTTATGTTATGATCTCGTTATACTAATTCGTACAACAAAACATTAAACAAATAATTCGTGAATATTCTTAAATAACAAAGTTTACTCATCTATCTTGTAGAGTTATAAATCTGAGGTAATTTATCAAGAAACTTGAGGCTACTGGATAAACTTTTTAAATACAATTTATACCACTATATTACAATCTGAAAAAGGCACTGTTTTTCTAAAAAAAAGCCAATATTTTACAGAAACATCGGCCCTGGCGAAATCTATATTTATATGATGTTAGGAGATTAGGTAAATCCGACGTAGGTATAATCATAGAGGGGATCACATATGATCCCATTATAATGATATTATAAGATTGGATTTGGATTTGGTGTTTTCGACCTTTAATCGATCCATGGTGGTGATACTTCATTTCACGTTTCTTGTAGAAAGCGTGCTCTCAAACGAACTTGTTTTCGCTGAAACCTTGCTTGAGAAACAATTTTTTAAATTATTCCGATATAACATTTTTTGTATTGTGCTTAGTCTGTTACGGATATTTTTAATAGTTATGATATGAGTCCAATGTAATGTAAAAGGAAGCGAGTCATACCAACAAAGGACTGAAGCACTGTGCCTGCTAACGGACAATATTAAAAAATCAAAAAGTATTTGCCGATCCGGTAATAATAGAATTCGAACCTTTGATCAGCAATTACAATCTGACTAGTTAAGCCATTTAACCAACGAGCTTAACAGTTTTAAAAATTGTCAATTAAACTTTTCTTTGCATACCTACTTAATTAACTCGTCGAGTACCGGTTTTATAGACACAATTAAAGAACAATAGGTCGCAGTCACCGGTGACCGCTTGGTGTTTGACAGTTTAAATAACAACACAACTGTAGTTCTTTTTGAAACACCCTCTTTCAAATTATGGGAAGTGTTCGTGTTTAAAAAAGAAGACGTCTAACACAAAGCGAGTGACTAGGTGTCTAGAACCTTTGTCACAGTTGTCGGATCAGAAAACAGCCAAAAGATTTTCACACAATACCTTTCAATTTCTCATTAAGAATATCATCGAATATTCTTAATTGAAACGGAAAACTTCGGCTATAAGGAAAAATTATCGGAAAAACTTCGTGACTCGAACCATCGACTATCAATCAAATGTAATTTAATTTCGATTAAGACATTTCGTTTATTGAATTTCAGCAATTCAATTAAGTACTGATAGCTGATAATTATTATGAGATCGCACGTTTTAATAAATGCTGACAGTTTCGCGGTTTAGGTATAATATCATTTATATTTGAGGTAAGATGAAAATTGACGGTAATTAGTTGTAATTACTGAAAAAAAATATATTAAGGACTTAAGTAGTTAATTACGTATACAAAACAGCTTCTTAAAGGAGGTCTGTGAGACTTTAAGATTGATATTAACGATGACGATACCTGTACCAATTATAGTGGTTAAGTATACTGTCATGTTAACATTTTTTATTCAGGTACTTACTCGTTTTACCCAAAATTAACATTGGATCAATTACGGTTTGTAACGATTGGAAATAATATAATTTGTTAAAAATAGACATTGTTTTAAGACGATTTAGAGTTCATAATATCATAACCAATTTATTCCTAGTTTCACCCAATAACTAGTTTGGCAGTAGCGATGACTAGAAGTTCATTCGTGAATAATTTATTATACTGGCTAAAGTTTAAATTAGATTTTCCTATCAGAGAACTTTATTGATAGCCTTAGTAATAAACTTTCTCCATATAGTGAGTCAGACACCACGGACAAGTTTACTAAATAGTTTGAACAGTCTGATTTTATATGGATAACTGCCCCGGCTTCGCACGGGTTTTACGTCTTTCCTAATGAATATTCTACAATATTCTTTTGAACAATATCTAATTATTTTTATGTACAATAGTAAAATTCATCCTGACGGTAACGAAAGTAACAAATATATTAACTTAATTTTGTACAATTGTTTAAAAGTTTTATGCGTAACTACATAGATTTGGACGATTTATTTTTGGTTTTATTAGATTTAAATCGAAGTGATTCGTTTTACAAACTAATAATTACATTTGGAACAGTTTTGGTGAGGCTATAGAATTCTTAATAAAACAATACTGGGTAGATATCTCTGCTTTGTAAACTTTTAACGAGTTATTGAAAACAATATCTTAACTGTGCTTTTGCGTTTTACTTAGCACACAGTTATGAAGTTATGTATCTTTTATTTAAAATTTAATTACTTTGTTAAAAAAAATTATATGAACAAAATAATAACTCAAAAACAATGCGATAAGTATTAGTTTTAGGACTTATTTCGCATTATTTTCAGGACTTAGTTCGCAAATCTTCCTAAGCGGAATGAAACCAAGTAGTTCAGTTATAGTTATACAATTTTAAGAACAAAACTATTAATCAACTTTTGAATTTAACACAACTGACGAGAATTTACTTCCGAAATAAAGAAAAACTTGGAGAGAACAGCGCTTTATGAACACTTACCTTTGCAGAGCCCCGTGCAGGGACAGCACACTTTTTTCAAACTTTAGACCAACTTCGAACTTGACACTGCTCTCAATGTTAGTTACTTAGTTGGCGGTTCTTGGCGGGAATGGTTGTTGTACGGCATTAACAGTGCTTTTATAGAAAACTACATGAGGCTCGCGCATGCGTGTTACATGAGGGAGGAGCTTCCACACTGTACTCTACATGCACTTTAAATTAAGCTATAAGGTCACGCGGCTCTGATGTTATTATTAGTACATTTTGTGAATATTGTATTATGCAGGAACTACAGATAGGGTAATGGAAAACTGCACGGCTAACTCTATTATGATAATAAGTGCAATACATTCAACCACTTTAAGCTTGCTACCTTACGGCACGAGTCACTACGAAGCTGGGTTCGATTCACAGCACCAGCAAGTGTTTAAGGGTATTACACAGCGGAGACTGGAGAGTTAATGAAAGTCAGTTTTAAATATCATATCTTCAAGCCTATTAATTCCCGATGCAGTAGGCAGAGGTCCACATAGGCAATGTAACATCTGCATTTCAACAGTTACCTATCTATGTTCTGAGTTCCGTGTAGTGTGGGTGTGCGTATTTGGTACCTATTAACAGAAGTTGAAGAAAGCATCATGCATGTTTACAACCTTTAGACTTTATAATACCAATGATTAATTGGCAAAGAACCCACATGATATTAAACAACCCTATAGATAATACCTACACAGGAAAACTTTTAATTTAATGAGGTTCAATATCACCTTTTATCCAAAGTTAAATTAATTGTTTGCAGTTCAAGAAGACCCTTGTCAAGTGATAGGATACTCAATTAATAACATTCGTTTACTTTAGCCCCATACAAAAACTCATTCAAATATTATTTTACGTTAAGTATATATAACAAGTATCTACAAAGGTACTTACTTAACTTGGTGCTTTTAAAAATGGCCTGTCTACCAAGATAAAAAGAAGAAAATGTTGTCCTCAATAACACATAAACCAAGAAAAACCTTCGTCACAAGAAAATACTAACCAGTGACGCTAAAAATAGAACCTCATTGAAATGGCCTTTGTGCCCAGATACTATTAACTACGTGAGAAGCTTTTCCACTTGTTTAGTTTTGTTTTTCAAGTAAAAATTGCTCAGAAAAATCATATTTTTTTCTTTTGATGTCTGATGTCTAGATAGGACGTTTTATTTTTCTATATTAGGTCTCTATTTCTAAATTTCAAATTAAAGAATATGTTTTTATAAAATCGATTTTTTCAAATTAATAATTTTCAAACAATTAAAGAATTTTTTAGGACTCAATTTTAATTTCCTAAATATCTGGCTGAAAAAAAATTACAAAATTGCCATAAACAAAAAAAACATTTCTTCATAAATCATAATTATATGGCCGTACAAACATATTCGGTCAGTAATTTCAACATAATTAAAAATGTTTGTATAGGAAGGTCCCAAGTACCTACATGAGATTAATCTCTTAAAAGAATGAGAAGAAAACAAATAGTAACTACAATAATTGACTGCACGGTTGGTGCGGTGGCTAGGCAACCGGCTGCCATGCAACGTGTCGCGAGTTCGATTCCCACACGGAACAACATTTTGTGTGATCCACAAATTGTTGTTTCGGGTCTGGGTGTCATTGTGTATGTGAACTTGTATGTTTGTAAACGCACCCACGACACAGGAGAAAATCCTACTGGGGGCAACGTTTTCTAAAAGAAAAAAATATTTTTACTGGATTGTCATACTTCGGGGTCATAAGAACCGATCACTGGAATTCTTTCAGATTCAATTTCCGGTCGAGCAAAGTAACATGCACGGTTACATACAGCTACCTATTATTGTGATCTGTTTTTTTTTTCTTTTATTGTCTTACCCGCTTGAGGAATTAAGGATACAATTTTTTTAAGGGGGGATAATCATCGAATGACTGCTACCGCCTGGGTGAGGCGGGAGGGAGTGTCAGACTCTTACTGACTAAAAACTACCCCGTTCCTACTCCTGCACTTGGAGCCGGAGCCCCGGTAACTCGTTAGGATTTAAGACATTAAGGATATACAGAGTGTAAGTAAACATACCGCTCCCGAAACGCTGACAAAAAGAGATTGTTTTTACAATTAAAACCGTTTTAGTTTTCGTGTTATTCATGCGACATCGACTATGAGCAGTTGATTACATTACAACTATTACATAAAGGAAACATTCAAATTATTACACATAACATAACATCACGCCTTTCATCCCCGAAGGGGTAGGCAGAGGTGCACATTACGGCACTTAATGCCATTCTACAATGTAACACCCACTTTTCACCACTATTTTTGTCATGAGTCCCATAAAATTAGTGAGGCTATAGTGTATTGAAATCGTTACTTTTATGAAATTAAAATTTGTTTTTTACCTTCACCTGTCGCCGTTTTTTGTCGTTTACAGGGTATATTATGTTATGGTTAAACATACAGTATTTCTTTTCTCTGTAGTTACATAATGTAACCTTGGCACAAGTGGGAACTTGTAAAATAGGGCTTTACTTAATAATTCATGGTAGCGACAACCTTGATTTGATTATTGTGAAGGCAATAATTATTAACAGAAGACAAAAGAAAGTTTACCTTAAACTTTAGGAAGTATTACATTTGAATTACGTAATGAGACTGGAAAATGGGCCATAACATAATCTAATGATTTGTTTTAGTTGCTAAAGCAGCTGTCCTGTTTATGCTTAGTGTAGGTAATACCTGTGTAACAATTAGGTACCTATGGAAATAAGTGACAGGATTTTAGTTCAAACAAGTTGATCGTGTCCGCGTCGTCTCGCGCCGCTCCGCACCGCATCCCACGTGTTTATTATGACGTCATCATCATCATCATCATCAACAGCCTATTAATGCCCACCGCTGAGCAGAGCCTCTTCTCACACTTAGAAGGTTTGAGCATTAATCACCACACTTGCTCAATGCGGGTTGGCGATTACAAACTTATAATTAGAAATTATAAGCCCAGGTTTCGTCACAGTGTTTTCTTTCACCGTTAGTCAGTGGTGTCTAAATAATCTTATAAAGTACATATAACTCGGAAAAAGTCACATTGGTACTTGCCGTTGGTAGGTTTCGAACCCACAAAAAGCGGGCGTCTTAAACCTACGGGCCACCACGACACACGGCAGCTATAGCACTAAGTTTGATATATCATTTAACTAAATCATTCTTCAAAGCAAAGACATAACTCTAATTCTTTCTATTACTAACCCGTATAACTCTTATAAATAAAAGTCTGCAGCTCTCCTAAAACTACACAATGTCGTGCATTGTGACGTAGGACACTTCAATAGGTTTCGACAGTTTGTTGTTTACGCGCCACACCGCACCGCTTCGCATTCGCTTCTAGATCGCCCACTCAAGACATAGCGTTAGTTACTCGCCCAGATTCTCTTTAGGTACCTACTAAGTTTAAATCCTATAAATCAAAAACATTAGACTGCGTTGTAAGTAACGCTTGCAATAAGAACGTCATTTGTGACCTTATCAGCGGCAATACTAACTCGAGGGCATTCCCAGGGGTCGGGAATGTCAGGGCCTGCTAGTGGCAACAAATCATGCGCTGATTGGTTGCACCGGGACCAAGGATATCCTGTTGCTGTCGTAGCATGATTTAAAGCGAGCCCTCAAGGAATCCTGCCTGTAATACGTACCTAGATTAACCTTCTTTTATAGATATAGGTACATATGTACATATTTGGTACTTTGCAATATCTGCCTTTTAGCCGCCAAGTCACATGGGGGACTGACTTATTATTAGGTTTTGTGTCTGGTGTAGACTACAGCAATAAACTCGGCCTCGTATTACCGTTATTGTACTCATAGCTGATAAAAAATAGACAGAGTAATTGAAAACCTCCTCCTTATTGGGATCTGGGTTTAAAGGTAGGTGACACCTTCAATAGGCTGCCTCTTCTGGGGTTAAAAATGTGTGTTACAATTTATATCTAAAAATACTAGTATTTTTATGATAAAAATATAAAACAACCTTTTAATTAAATAAATAATTTATTTAAGTATTTACTAATATAAATCACTTCCGAACAATGATTTCGTATCCTAAGAATTTTATAATAACGGACTGTCTTCACTTATTTTTGCTTGTTTCGGTTACATTTGAGTTCGTTGGATCGTTTGTATGTGCCTCTGACGTCACGGCCCCACCGTCTGTTTTATTCGGGTCATTCAATTGGGTAGAAATGACATTTGAAGTACTTTCTTGTGGTTTAGAGTCCATGTCACTCGCTGCAGCAGACGGTACGGTAGTCATGTTTATTTTATTGAACTCTTGTTGTACATATGGTGGCATTGTGCTGCTATGACTAGTAATGGAATGGTGGTCAGATTCATTCTCACATTCATTAGACTTAAATCTCGAACAATAGCCATGTCGACAATATGCGAAGATGCCAGCACATTGTACTAGTAGCGCGAAGTTACCAGGGTAGCAGTGGAGTGCACTTTTGCAACTCAAGCATCTGTAACCTGGCTGTAAACAAAGAAAACCAATAATTTAAAATAAATTATATTTTGGTCCTAAAGCAGAGCCTTGGGGTACACCACTAGAAACATTCAATATTAGATAAGACTGTGCACACGCTTTCGTTAATAAGAGAACAAACTTATTACAGGAAAGATAATAAGACCTGCGACAATAAGAACAAATAAGATCTAGCTCCTAAAGTCACTAACAGGATCGTACGGTCTCCATGAGATAGTCTAAACTTTCTCCCAAATCTCAAAATATATGAAATGTAGTTTACCTCGCTTCTGTAATCGCAGGTCCAAGGGTTGTAATGGGCTTTATTAAGTGCACTGGCATACACATCAAAATGCGTGTAATTATCTGGTTGGAAAATTGGAATCTGTCCTGAAACAAAAATTTTCTATAGTGTTTTGGCTAAAGTTTTGGTGTATCAAATAGCACAACTTACCCAACTCCGTTCTTCCTTGAATGGGAGCCAGATTCATCTGTAAACAGAACAAAAACTTATAGGTATATCTTCTTAACTATTAATAACTATATTTAACTGTTCATATTTACCAAGACTGTGAAAATAATTGGCAAGACCATTTTTCTAATTATTACCCAATAAAACGTTGGTCGCAAACTCAGAGGCAAGTAGTTAGTGAAACACGTAAAACGTTGCTTATATACTGTGGAATTAATTACCGATGTAAATATGCCAAGATGCACGACAAAGATATTCGCGAATAATTCACTTTAAAAAAATCTTGATTTACAATATTAATCGGTGGTCAATTTCATCATTTATAACGGTACATATACTAAAGGAAAATATTGAAGTTAATGAAATAATTTTAATCACCTACAGCATACTTACGGCTACAGCTACAGCTGAAAAAATCATTCTTTTCAATCATCTCTCTATTGAAAAGATTGAGAAGAAGTGTGATAATAAGTTAATTAGATTTAAATAATTTCACATATTAACATCGCGTGCAATATACATAATTATTATGCAAGAGTGTGTTGACCGAACACTGAATAAAAAAGTTTATAGACTGTGTAGTCACTTCACTCACTTTCCTACCGTCACACACGACTAATTACAGAGTAAAAAATCTGAATAAATAAGTACCTAAATAAAAAATATATTTAAGTATTGGAAAAACTGTATAGGTGCAAGTAAGTTAGTGTAATGACAATTGCCCACGCACCCACCAGGATCAGGATCTCAGATGTAGCTAGTACCTACATCCGCTACACATTGCGCGTCAACCGGCTGCAACGCAACGTGTAGCGAGTTTGATTCACACACCACACGGAGAAAATCTTTGTGTAATCCACAAATTATTGTTTCGGGTCTGACTGTCATGATTGTGTATGTGAACTTGTAGATTTGTAAATGCACCCACGATACTTGTGCCTACAGGACAAAATCCTAGTGTAGGGCAACGTTAAAGAAAAGAAAGATTCCAAATATCCCGAATTATTATGTGCCCAAGGGCGCTAGCGTAGTCTAAGACGGTCCTGTATTTTGGTTTAGTACATAACTGGTGAGAGTGGATATCACATTGTATGTTTGCACTGCGTCCGAACCCCTTAAGAGATTTAAAGATGTAACATTTAGTGGGCGCTACTTAATTTTCTCTAGGTTTCAGCCAATCAAATTAAAATAACGAGCGCTGCGCTCCCATCTCTCAGAACAGAAATTTGTCATATTGTGAAAGTCACATTTTTATTTTACGGTTATCTTTATGATTTTTCACTACCCTCGCGGGACTCAGACGTGAGTTTTCTTCAACTACAATAACTCAACAACTCTTCAAGGAAGACAAAAAGCGAAAACGACCAATCTCAGTAAAATATATATTGTAATTTATTGTAAAAGAAAAAGAAGAAACAAAGTATAAAAATCTTAATAAAATATTACTCAATTTATAAACATTGGACGGTTATACAATAAGACACTTGATTTCATAGATACATTTTCTTACAAGCTAGTTTCTAACTGGCACTTCAAAGTATTCAGTTTGCTTTCAACGTATTTCAGATCATGGATTCTTTCCAAAGTATTGACATCGGATGGCTCACTTATATTAGCCGCACTGTCTTCTAGAGGCATCTCCACGATACTAGCATTTACTGGAATATTCCATATATGCTTAGTTATAGTCGTATTCTGATTATTAACGTTAATAGTCAGTACATTTTTTGATTCAATATTATTCGCGGGCCTTCCAGAACCTTCTTGTCTTGCGTTGGGTTGAGTTGATTTGGACGTGGATAGCATACTCGTCATATCGTTCATTTGATTGAGAATATCTGTAACAAAGTAATTTAAAAACTTATTATTTTTTCAATGACCATAACTTCCTTCAAACTTGATTTAAAATGTAATATTTTACCTGTAATTTGTAGACTCGTAGTTTCATCCATTAGTTCTTCTTTCTCATAATCCCCATTGTTTTCATCGTTAACTTCAATATCTCTGTAAACAGGTACCTTGCACTGTCTGTTCAACACCGCTCTCCTCAATGACGGACGATTTCTAATCGGCGAAAAGTTATACAGAACTGAGAATGACGAATCTCTGACTCTACCCAGTTGTTTGTTTACAAACACTGTTTCATTGCAAGCGGCGTTTTGTTCATGATCTCCCGAGTTACTAAACAGTTGATCCAATTGAACGGAGAAACTGAGTTCGCTACACATTTTTGTCTTCAAATGTTTCGTTAGTTTTAATAAGGGGAAGTTTCTTGTTGAGGAGCGGACGTTGGTTCTTGCGAAGATGCTTCTGGACATATTAATGGGTTTGCGTGGTGATTGTACGTAAGTATCGGAGTTCTTAACGACAGTGTGTGTAGCATTCTTGTAGCCCATCTGTGGTTCTTCTTCACCTTCACAACCAAGCCATTGGTCCTCATTCTCCTTAGGGTGATGCAAACTGTGAATTCTTGACACCAGTGTGTACAGAAGTTTCAATCTCTTTACAAGTTGATCGAAAGACACTTCTTTATTATTCTTCGGCATTTTCACGTCATATACAAAGTCGTTATCCGAACTCAACAGATTACTAACGATTTTACATTCTTTTTGAACTGTAAAAATAAATTGACATAGTTATGATTAGTTTTGTTAAGGGTAATATATTTTCTGTATACTTTCTATAGTAATCCATAGAAATGTATTTGTTCTATAGAAAAAAGCTAATAAGTATTTACACAAGTAATTCATACCTTTATCCAAATCAGACAGCAACACTAATAGCTTCTCATGGTGCTCCAAGGCATCTGGCTCATATTTGTCATACACATTGAAGAAATCATATACCATGCATCCCATGTTAATGACTGCACATACATCCGCATTGTTGTAGCTATTGTCTTTCAATACTGCCAGTACTCTCTGATGCATCATTTGTTTCGATTTCTGAAAACAAACAATAAACCAACGCATGAATTGAGATAATATGCATAAGGAATGGAATTTCGGTTTAGGCATAATAGTAATCGACCTGTAATTTTTAAATCCAGCTCTTTGTACATTTTTCAAAAGAATATAAATTAATTACCTATTTTGTTTTTCGATTTAGTCACGTAATTATTTGACTAGGCACTCGACTAGTTTCTCGTTTGTCGCACGAAAGTTATAATATAAATAGAATATAAATAATTATTGTTAAATTAACTAAAAACCGCTGGTTACTCGCGTGATAATACTGAGAAAAAGTCTACTAGTTGGGCTCTAGACTATAGAAAAGTTACTAGATGGGCTCACAATGCAAGTAACAACACCAACGCAAGCGCCGACGCTAGACTGTAGGCTGCGCGACATCGCCGCGAATCGCGACCACGCACGCTGTTCATGAGGTAAGAGCCCCTCTATGGCTCGAAACTAGTAGAGCTTTTCTCCGAGGAACCCGCGATTTTTAGTTAATTTAATGACTCACCATAGTTATTACAAAAAATATATTAATTGTTAATATGGTAGATGATAATTTTTTATTTTAATGTCCGTCTGGTAGATTCTTTAAAAACGTATTTTTTATTTTCTTATGGAAACGAATAGTTTCGAAGATATATTGATTTGAAATATTGCATGACGTCACTTTTGAGTACGATTTATACTCTAAAATGACGTAGATACCTCCCACTCCTAAAGTTTGATTCGTTTCATATAAATATTGTTTTCTTATACGACAAAAAAATAAATACGTGTCTAATATTTTTTCATTACCTAACTGACGGACTAATTAGATTTTGAACTTTTTCTATTATTGTTATTGTCAAAAAAAAATTGGTAAAAGCCATCTTACCTCAGCAAAAGCAGTTGGATCTACAATCAAGTACACATTATCTCGAATTTCTTGAACTTCATGCTTCCAAGAGTTGATCAGCAGTGTGGCATGGTGGCTGTCTGGTGACATCATCAATGCTGGGACCAAATGAGGGTCTAAAGCTTCCAAGCTGGCCAGACCACTTCGAAGTGACAGGATCCCTGGAAATTATAAAATAGCAATGATTACGTCATAACTGTTTTGCGGATTAGTACGTTGATATATACCGAAAACCTCAAAATTTGTTCTTGCAAAAGTAATCTCTAAACATCGGAAATAAGGTCTATAATGGAGTAAGTGGAGAGTGGTCACCGGTGACTGGTCTGCAGTACTTAGTGATCCATTTTATGAGGAAAAGAGAAGACTTTGGGCCTTTTCAAAATACTATACACATTGATGACATACTATTTTTGTCTTGAATAATTTCAAGCATTGTTTGGATGTTGCAAAAGTATACAGTATTCAAAAATACCTCAAGCATTTCTTAAGTACAAAAAACTTACTATTTTGATCAGATGAGCAGGAAACAGCAAAGTTTCCAATCTGCAGCAACCTCTCGTTGTATAAATCAAAATCTTTTACAAAAGAGCAATTTTCCGTGACTTCATCTTCACTCTTGAGCAGACAAGAGCAAGTCCCTTTAGTGCCATTATTGAAATGGTCTTTGAGAATAGATATAGGAGACTTGTTGTAAGTAAAACAGTGTGCTACTAATGCTAGTAGGGCCGTGTTGGTGTTGGTCTCAAGGGCATACAAGACATCCTTTAGTACATCAATGAGCACATTAACATTTGATGGCATTATAGGTAGCTTTAATGTGTCTGGTGAAGCTTTAACAGTTGCGCTAAGATCCCCTTGTATCAATTCACCAAGTAGTGCTTTAGTTTCTCTCAATACCTGCAAAAAGAGTTTAGTAATAGGAATGAATTTTTTATGGGATAAACCCGTAAACGAACTTACGGATCACCTGATGGTAAGACATCGGCGTTGCCCATAGACACCCTAAACACCCTGGGCGTTACAAGTGCGTTACCGGGTTTTTGGGAATCGAGAATTGGGAATTCTAAGAACACAACACAAACGTCGAAACATAACCCAAGTGTTGATTCACATCGGTTTTTTGTGAAGCTGTGGTATCCCTCCAGTCGAGCCGGCCCAGTCGAGTAGGCCCATCCGAGCCGAAGCATAGCTCTCCCACACTTAGATGTCATTATAATTAAGTCTCTACAGATATTCTATACAGTAGGTCTTTTTCTTTACATTTCTGAGGTAGGTAGTAAGATCAGGCTGTGTGAAAGAATCCAAAATAAAAATGTTTATACTTCTATGTGGTTATATGTCCTCATACAATACTCAGGCTTCATGTCATATGAAGTATTTTATCTAAAGAATTATATTACTTACCACTTGACAGCGTGCCTTCACAATATGCTGGTCATCAGCCAGACAATATCTGCACAGTGTCATTGCTGAAAGCAGAAGTTCGTCAATGGACACATGGAGCTCGCTCACACACTCCACCATCTGAAAACATAACAATTAGTTATATTAAAACAATATTTAAACTATTAGTTATGTCTACTGCCAAAGAGTTAAAATTCTATTAACCCACACGGAACATAGATATACATGAGAAACAATGTGTTTTCTATTGTGTCTCAAATGTGGACAATAAGCGGTTAATGGAGGTTCTTTCTCATGAATTTATGGAATGCTAAAAAGCTTAATGTTTGTGAACATGATCTCTATGTATGCCTATAGTTGTTTAATCAAACAAAAATATTTTTTCAATTACTAAACCAAACAACCAATACCTTCAGTTTGATAGATTTCGAAATGTTGTACATACATTTACAGAATTTTTAAAGTATATTGTTTACAACTCACAGTATCCTTCCATTGATCATAAAGTTCCTCGGATTCCTTGTAATCAGTCTTATAGACAGCATCGGCAAGTTTACCAAGCACTTCAAATGTGTGGTCAATCCAGTTGACAAAATACATTGTGGTCACATTGAAGGAATCATTGCCACTCTCATTTGCATCAGAAGAGGTTGAGGTTTTGTTCAAATACTTCTCGACCACTAATAATCTGTTTATACACCATGACAGTCTTTCAATGGTGTATTGACGACTTTCCTGGAATTACAATAAGAACAATTTAATAATAAGAAAGTTTTATTGTTAGTTCAATAGGGTAGATGCCTAATTTTTATTTCTAATGTCGCGTGACATCACTTCTATGGACATTTTATACGTAGAAACCACTCCTAAACTTTGATTCATTTTATCTAAGTATTGTTTTATTATATGACAAAAGAAAAAATATTAGTCTAATATTTATAAAAACATTTTAAAAAAATTAAGAAAAAAATATTAGTCTAATATTTTTTAATTACCTAACTTACGGACTAATTAGATATTTCATTTTCATACCCTATCATCATCCCAATTATAATATTTAACCATCTCTTTCCTATGGCACTTTGATTTAATACTGGGGAGCACTGATACTAACTGAGACTGCATGGTTGGTGCGGTGGCTGGGCTACCAGCTGCTCCGCAATGTGTAGCAGGTACGATTAACACATGGAACAACTCTTTGTGTGATCCACAAATTGTTGTTTCGGGTCTGAGTGTCATGTGTATGTAAAATTGTATGTTTGTAAACACCCCCACGACACAGGAGAAAATTCTAGTGTGGGGCAATGTTTTGTTAACAAAGAAAAAAGAGCAGCCTAAGCCTCGAAGTTATCAGATACGTAAAATATAAAATATTGTTGAGGTATACAATGTTTGAACATGAAAATACGCTCATTGATAAAAAAATCACAACATTGTACTAGTTTATTCTCTGTTGCTGTATAATAGTTTAACTTTCATAAATCTATTCAAAACTTTTACCTGGAGTAAAGTTTGATGACGAGCTTCGACTTTGAAGATGTCGAATAAACTGATCAAACATTTATTGATTTGGCTCGAACATAATGTGTAAACATCTCGAACTTTTGTAATATTCTCTTCGTCACCGTCGTAAGACAATAATTTGTTACGCAAACATTGCGTTAACGGATGGATCTTGTCTAGTAAAATACTCTGAAAGCGAACAAAAGTTTGGGTGAAATATTTATACATCATAAACTTTTTAAAAGTTATTTCACATGAACATCTATTACCAAGACATGTTTTGTAGCAGCACGAGCATCATGAGGAATGTCTGCCAATTCTTCAAAACTTTCGTCCATGTCGACATTAATTTATTAAAACTTAATATTTTTAAAATTCAAACGTTAACGATGTACTTGGATTAGTAAACAATAAAATGTTAGTTGATTGACATTTGACATCAATTGACATCTATTTACAGCTGTCAATGTCAAGGTCAATTAAAAACCTTACACAAATGTCCTGCAATCCTGCAATCCTGCAATCCTGCAGTACTTTCTCCTTATCTCTTTCAATGTCAGTTTTGAAAGTTACATTATTATTTGTTAAAAGTTCGTAAAATATGTAATTGGAAGTAAAAATCAGCAAATTATAAGACTCCCTATAACAAGAAAAATACTAAACTATTCTTTTTCATTTTACTCACATATGTTCACATCCTTATCTTTGACAGTCAGATGTCATGTCAAAGAACGCCATATCCATTGTTGTTTCGATTCCGGAATAAATCTAGAAAATATTGTTCTTATAAAGGTTTAGAAAGTACAGAACAATGAGTGAATTAGTTTGGGGAATTAAAAACGGCGATATCGATCAAGTAAAAGACATAGTAGAAAACAAGGTAAGTGAATCTACTTATGTCCGTAAATCGGTTATTTTCAATGTGAAGATTTACTTAGTATGTAGTTGGCAAGAGAAAGCAATGTTTCTCATTAATTTGCACTAATATTCTATTTTTATGTATTATAAAAACTACAAGCGGAAACTCAATTACACATCGTTTCCAACTAATATAATCCTAAATTATTGTGCAATAATGCATTGTATGAGACTGAATTGGAATAGACTTATTAAAATGATTACTGGCTAATTACACGCCCTCGCTACAGACATGGGCTGATTAGAGTCATTGCGTCTATAGTCCCCACAGTAATTTATAGACCTCTTTTAAATACAACAAGACTTACCTAACAATTAAATCATACTATTTCAGAAAATTGATGTCAATGCACTAATTGATGGAAGGGTCCCTCTTCACTATGCTGCTGACTATGGTCAGACAGCTGTTTTGAACTATTTGCTGGACAAAGGAGCAGACCCTAATGTAAGTGGAAACAGACAGACAACACATGTGTAAACAAAAACAGTACTTATTTATCTAACTCAATTTTACATTTCAGATGTTGGACAAACATGGCATTTCAGTACTGTTAGCAGCAATTTGGGAAGGTCACACCGACTGTGTTAAAACATTACTCAAAAATGTAAGTAACACTTCAAATGAATTCTCTTTGTAAAATTAATATGCATGACTTGCAATTTTACAGTAATGGGTTGCAATAATAAAATTAATGTTTTGCCAGTAAGCCTTGAAATTAAATAACAGTTATTGTTAGTCATACACTTTCCATTGTAAGATCTGAAGAATATGCCAATTCTATAAAACTGGATTAATACTTGGGTTGTCTACAACCCAAGTATTAATTATTTTGGTAGATTCTTATTAGTAACTTGTGTTAACTTACAGGGTGCGTCTAAAAATGGAAAGACCCCAGATGGAACACCATACATCGAAGCTGCAGAAAAAGATGAAATCAAGGAACTTCTCACATAGAAATGAAATCTTTTATACCAGAACTATATAACAAGTAATCGCTCAGATTTGTTTTGATGCTAAGATAAAATCACTAAGATCAAACAATAAATTAATCCCATTATAAAATATTTTTACAAGCATTTATTTACATTGTAATGAATTATTTTTATACGCTCAACATATTGACCTATAAAATATGTATTTGATTATGCGTCCATTTAGTAGTGTGTGTATCTATAAAGGCCTGACCTCCCTTATGGGGGTAAATAACAGCAATCACCTGAAATGTGATGGCTAGCTCATCCTTCCAGTGCTTGCATGAGATTTGTAAGAAGCCCCATAATCTAAATTTAGCAAATAAATTATTTAAATATTAAGGTATAATTGCAGCAAATAAGATGTAATTTTTATCGCTAAAATAATAAAACTGATATAAGCAAACCACATTTTATTTTATCTTTAAAAAAGTATGAACAGTTTCTTGTACCCTTAACTACATAATGTATGCTTAGTAGATTTTTAAATAAGGAACTTAAATCCCCGTGAGTATGTAACCTTCCACAATAAGTTAGGACTCTATCCATCTATTACAAAAAATATCCAATGTGAAAATCCCACGCATAAAATAGATATTATGCATTTTTTCCAATAAATAACAACCTATACAAGTATCACAAAAATGGCAGAAAAAAATTATCTTTGGATATGAAAATTTTAAGAAAAATTAACAGGCATCTGTTATAAGTCCCCACTTCCAGGATACTTCTTATATTTATTGTTTTTAGCTGGGGGACAATAGCAGGCATTTTTCTGAGCATCAAGATATGATTTACAACCGAGTGTTAGTGTTCCCGTAAACAACAACTTTGCTGCAGCTTTGCAACCTGAAATGGAATTATAGTATTGTTAGTAACACACAAAACAATGAAATTATTAAATAATTAACAATTATTATAACAAGAACATCATACCTTTAGTAATTGTGTCCCCCGCAACATTAACAGTTTTGTAACTGTCACAGTAGTTATAGAGGCACCTCTTAAAATCCAAATCACAGGTTTCTTTACCACTATTACATGTGTCATAGCAAATATCGTGACTATCACAGCACTTAGTCATTTCTTCTAATGGCAAGTATTCTGATGCAATTTCAAAGCCAAGAGATCCACAGCCATCTGATTTAGGGATGTGGTTTCTATTGCGCACTGGTCTAGATCCTGAAAAATGTTTTAAACAAATGTAATATCCTTCTATTCCATCAATTGAATAATTGTAATAATAAAACATACTGTACATACCTTCAGGGCAATTAAATATGCATTCCTCTTCTACTGCTGCATCAAAAACTTCATGCAACGACTTGAATTTTTCAGCTACTGTTATAACATTCTTAAACATATCTCCGAAAACTGACTCAGCCGATAGTACTGCATCTTTTAAATTCCTTAACATACTAGAGCCCATGCCAGTATATGCATAGGCTACGAAAGTTAAAACGTAAATCGCAATCTTTCTGTATGGAATCTCCATGTTTATCAAAATTACTGCGATGGTCTTATGGAAAATAATTACATTTTCAGTCAAAGCTGCTTTTACACCTCTGTACTGAGTGCTTTGAGTACAGTACACGTAATTTTTAAATCTTGCTCTTGGAAAATAGCCAAAACAAAAACGTCAAAACAAAAACCTTATAGTTACGTCATCTTTCTTCAACAGCTGATTTAAATAGTCGAATTAGCACAGAAAGTATACCTTTATAGTCGATTTACAAAATATATTTTTTTGTTTAGTATGGCAACATCTTCGGTTGTTCAACGTCCGGTAGCCATACTGTTTTAAAAAGTTATCCTTTTCCGTTTTGTTGTCGTGAAAATGACGGGCTTTAGCAATAAGGTGAGAAGAAAAATTATGAAAATATAATTAAAAGCCACAAAAATTGTTAAAGTGAATATAAAACTTAACTACCGACTTCAATGTGATCTACATTATAACATTTTAATAATATCCGACGTGTGATAAATTCGACAACATGCATCGAGCGTGCATCACACGTGCTTTTTCGTGTCTGACTTTGATTATGAGGAGTTATTATAATACACCATTTATATTAACTGTATTACAAGAAATTCCGGGACTCCAGTTTCAAAAATTGTGTCAATTACCACTAAAATCTCGAATAGTGTTATAACTTTTGAGGTTATGCTGTACGTCAGCGGCGGTTAACTTCTGTGAATTTTTGTGTTCTAGGCCATAGTGATCGATGGCCGTGGCCATCTCCTGGGCCGCCTGGCCGCAGTAATTGCTAAGGTCCTGCTAGAAGGTAACAAAGTCGTAGTCGTACGATGTGAGCAGATCAACATCTCTGGCAACTTCTTCAGGTAACAACATTGCCCATATTTGTGTTTGTTTGTAGAATATGGTTATGGACATTGCTTTTATTGGTGTAACATTTACTGCAGCAGCGTTAGGAACTCTAAAAGTCATATATTGTCCAGATTTTCAGTTTGAGATAGCACATTGTGATTTTTGAATGGCTATTGATAAATCCACATTGATGTAATTGAAGTGCTAATACATGAACATGTGCATGCTTAGGACATGGGAACAAAATATGGTGTTATATTCCCAATGCTTGCATTTTATTTTGGTGTATAATTATCTTTTTGGTAGTTTAAACAATTTCATAAAGGAAGAACAATAACTCATCTCTTTTACCACACTTCTAACAATAAAATGATGTTTCATTGGGTAATTTGCGACTGAATATTGCAAGATATATGTTGTTAACTATAATATTTATCTGATAATGTTTACATTGCTGTTCATAACTGCTATAATTTATCCAAAGTATTATAATTATTTTTTATATTCCAGGAACAAACTGAAGTTCATGTCCTTCCTCCGCAAGAGGTGCAATGTGAACCCAGCTCGTGGACCTTTCCACTTCAGAGCTCCTTCCAAGATCCTGTGGAAGACTGTCAGAGGTATTATTTAATCTTACTTTCCTTCAATCATTATTATTCATTTTATGGGATAGATCGGAAAATAAGCAAATGGACCTGCAATTCGTAAGGTTGCTGACCTATTACGGATTATATTAGAACAGTGTGATAAATACTACATTCCTATGACATTTGTTTGTAAACTAAGAAAAGTTGTACCTTCTTAAATAAATCAACATGCTAATGATTACCTATATCTACATTATTTGATGTTTATGATGTAAAAAATATTATGAAGCTGATCTCAAAACAAATTCATTCTATATTTTTAAAGTGCAATGCTAATGTGTGTTCATCTTCCAGGCATGATCCCACACAAAACTGAGCGCGGAAAGAGCGCGCTGAGGAGGCTTCGCGCGTACGACGGTTGCCCACCACCCTATGACAACCGCCGTCGTGTTGTTGTACCTGCCGCTCTCCGTGTCTTCTGCTTGAAGCCCGGCCGTAAGGTATGTCTACTTTACCATCATTTTTAACCAATATTTCCTTAGATTTGAACTTTATTGATGAAAGAAATTTTAACAAAAAAGCTCTCATTGACTTTACATAAATAATCTTACAATTCACATGGATGAATAAGTTTACAATGATGTTTCATTTGGGTAATTTGCGACTGAATAACCATGTTGCAAGTTTTTATTTTTCTGAGATTATTGTTACACCTATCTCAACATTTAATAAAAATTGCATGTATTAATTTGATTAATTTTTGTTGTAGTACTGTCACGTCGGCCGCCTGTCTCACGAAGTAGGCTGGAAGTACCGCGATGTCGTCCGCAAGCTCGAGAACAAGAGGAAGGTCAAGTCAGTCAAGCTTATGGCCTATGAGAAGAAGTTGAAGGTTTGTTTCAAATATTATACTTATAATTTTTTAATCAGCTCTAAAGCTACATTTTTTAATTTGTTAAATGATGATTACATTCTTACCTACATTATTTGAATTCAAATGAAAAGAAACCTTTACTGAGTAATATTTTATAAAACAACAATTAGTAGTGTAGCTTGAGGAGAAATCTAATTTTATTCTTTTTGTCTACACAGAGAATCACGAAGGAATCCGGCGAGAAGGTTGCGAAGACGACAGCACCATTCACCGCAGTGATCCAATCCTATGGATACAATTAGGATTAAGACATAAATATAAAAACCTTTGGTTGCCCAAAACTGTATTTTTATTATAATCCCATCAACCTCTATTTTATTTATTTATATTTAAACATTACATTTATCATCACAGGCACACCTAATACAATAAATGCAGTTACACATTATAAGTAAACTTATTACACAATATCCCCTAACAACCGTAAAATAATTTAGACAAAGAAAAACAAAACATAAGCACATAGAACATTAATTAAACTTACAGGCTAATACATTTCCACAAAACTATCCCCAATAAACAACTTTAGTAAATAACTTTAGTAATAACAAATATGTACTTATTTCTAAAATCTATGTACCTAGGTACTAACAATATAAATTATATAAATAGAATCAAATAAGTACAAATCCTAGGAACTTAGTTATTATTCACAACAACCTCATATGCTACCTTTGTGAACTCGTTGAGTGTACATGAGAATATATCCGTACTGTCCGCTATTGCATTCAATATGCGCAACGCTCGCGTCATTGGTGCCTTCTGCAAGAGGTTCGTGCGTGCGCAGGGTACCACCAGCAGCCGCGGCCGCCGCCTACGCCGCACGTAGGTACTCGTTCGGAACACAGCCGTAATTCCTCCAGTAGGGCAGGGTGGTGCGTTATACCTCGCAACACCTACATATATGTAAGTAGCTAGAGCTACTTCACGCCTCACCTCCAGTTTGTAGTATCCTACCATACCCAGTACAAACAAAGTTGGATATGGTATTGGGTACCTATCCAGGGTATATACCGTACGATTTTAAATACATGAATCTGGCAAACTTATTTAGGATACGTTCTATCATAAACTTATATTTGTCCTCATGTGGACTCCATATAAATATCTGCTAATATTTAAAACCAGCTATAGTATAAATATGTTTACAGTATTTTATAGTTTGTCTAATATTCTAATGTATTTTTGATATTCACAAAAATTGTGGATAGAACCTTCCATATAGTATTTATGCAACGTAAACCAGTAGACTGCCGGTCTGCGGGCCGAGGGACAACGGGTTCAATTCCCGATGGTGCTGACTATTATATCCAATTTTTGTGACTTGAGGTTTTTTCATAAAACCTTGTAGAAGAAGTAGGTCGTAAAGTAATGCACAAGATGAAATACTGACGAATTTTAACTTCCCAACTTTGAGGAGTTGGATGAGAGAACAAGGCATTTCTGTAAGATATCAATTCGAAGCGAGCTCAATCGTGGTTGTAAGAATAACCACGACCAATGACGGAGGAGAATGCGATCGAACTCACTTCGAGGGTTCGAATTGACAACTAAAAAATAGCGTCGCCGATACTACCCGTTAACCCGTAACAAATTGGTTGTACGATACGGACAGTGACTGCTATGCAAAATCTAGAGTTTTATTCCCACATGGAATAACTGGGATCTACCAATTATTGTTCCGGATATGTTAACAAAGGCATCGACGCGACGGCAGGGCGTGTGGGGGCAGTTGCGTGTTTGTAGATAATATTTAAGAAATAATAAAAAAAATTCAACACCATAATTCCTAATTATAAAACAGTTATAAATTTTCTAATACATATATTGTAATGAGTACATATTATAAACGAGTACTTTTTTTGATATCAATCAACTCTCACAAGAACGACGAGGCGCCGCGGGCACAGCTAGTGCGAAGTGAATAATTAAATGAGCTGATTGGGACACGGGACAACACTTTGTGTGATCCACAAATTGTTGTTTCGGGTCTGGGTGTCATTGTGTATGTGAACTTGTATGTTTATAAACGCACCCACGACACAGGAGAAAATCATAGTGTGGGGCAACCTATAAAAAAAAAGAAAATATTTTCAATGTACAGAATTTACTCTTCTACTCTACAGTTTTATTATAGGTATATTGTATAGATGTGTGTGTGTGTGGACATGGACCCATTTCTGCCAGACTATCGTATCATACAATAGGGATGACTTTATTTTTAGAACAAGATGTCTAGGTAAGTGTGGAAGAGTCATGCTTCGGTACGAATGGGCCGGCGACCGGCGTGATACAACGGCCTCACAGAAAACCGACGTGAACCAACACTTGCGTGGTGTTTCGTCATGTGAATGAGGTTACCCAAGGCCCAATAACCACCTTCACCAATCCTCAAATTCCTAATCCCTAAATGGCTACATGTACATTCGTAATGATCCATTTGTAACACCTCTGGTGTTTCGAGTGCCTACCATCAGGTGATACGTAAGATCGTTTACCGGTTTATTCCATAAAAAAAATCCTACCTTTAGCAAGATTTTTATAGGAACTAAGACAAGATCAATAGGTACCTACTAACTACTAAGCTATCATACCCTCATAAATTATATCACTTACGTATTAGTAAGTTTCCATCGAAATGCATT